CCCTTGGAAAGGTGAGCGGGAGGCGGAGCGGCGCTGGCAGAGCTGCGGACGCAGCTGCAGAGCCCTCCCCACGGCGTGTGCAATGCAGATGGTGCTGACAGTGGAACCGTTTCCTCATGGAGCAGCCTCCGAGCCCGCTCTGCAGGAAAGGTTTTGGAGAGTCATTGCCAGCGTGTGGCACATAAGTGATTTCATGCTTCTTATTAAGTAACGAAGTCTCTTTGTGTGTTGCAGCAATTCACAGGACTGCGCTAACTGCCCTGTCTCGGTTTTTGATCTGTGCCAGTCATACATGAACAAAATCGCTGTGCTTAGGCTGCAGACTGACAGAAAGTGCTCGAAGGGCTACGACAGTGTTTCAGAGCAGTGCGGCGGCTGACCTTTTTCCTCTTCAATCTTCCCTCTGTCGTTTCTGTAGAGAGATACTCCAAGAAATTCAGCGTCTCAGGCTGGAACATGAACAAGCCTCTCAACCCACCCCTGAGAAAGCCCAGCAGAACCCAACTTTGTTGGCCGAACTCAGACTTCTACGGTAAAAGAACCCTCTACACCTCGTGCGCGTTGGGGGCCGTGGGGGCTGCTCCGTCGCACAGGCTGGCGCTGGGCAGAGGGTGACACCAGCAAAGCTTTGGTGACCTCATGCCGTTCTCTTCAGATGCTGAAGTCTGAAGACTGACAGCGTATTGCAATTTGCCTTTTCTTTCAGGGGATTTAGAAGTAATTAAAAATGTCTCCTAAAATTAATCCTATTTGTACAGTTCAGAAAACTGTTTGTAAAGAAGAAATCGATAGGAAAAACTAGCAGAAATGGCATTAACCGCTCGTCATTTATTGTCCAAAGGAGCGGAGTTGAAGGTGAATGTCAGTTATTTGATTAGTCAGGGAAACTCCCTGAGTTCATACCTACAGAGAGTCAGACATACATCCAAAGTTGGAGAACAATCTTCAAAGCCTCCTTGACTAAGTTTGCATTTTGAAGTGACAGGGAAAAATTGTCAGTATTTATGGAATAAAGTGGTTATAGTTGGGTAGTCGTAAGGGCATTCTCTGGCTATATTTTATTTCGTCTTCTATTACTAGTTAATTCAGAGCTCAACCTTCACAAATGCCATCCGTAACCTCAAGTAGGTTCTAAAATTCAAGCTCTTGGCAGCAGCAGCTCTTTGCAAACTGCATTGTGTTTCGTGCATTGGGGTGAACTTGTGGCTAAAGCTTTTCCAGGAGCTGCGTTGCTCTGGGATGGAGCTGCTGCAACTGCAGGCAGCGTCCGCCAGGTATCAGCCAGCCCCGACTGCAGAATCGAAGGCTTTCGACTTCTTTCGCTGCTTTTTCATACAGAATCTGCTGCATTATAGTACATTTTGGTATCTCGCTGATACTTTTCATTCTGTTACCTAATGATAATAGCTCATAGATTTTCTAGCTATACGCTTTGCATAGCTACGTGTAATTATGTTTAAAAAACTGGAGAGGATGCAGAAGATACCCACAGATGTTGTGCAAAATGTTATGCAAAGAGGTGGAGAAAAAGGAGATTGCATGTCATATGTGGTGCCTTTAACTTTGGATTAAGACATTGTGGTGCCCACAAAAATAACTGTAGATGAATAAATAAGCCTTTCTAATCTGGGTGGGGGTTTTTCTTAGTTATTTATCATTATTTATGATTGGGATTTGTGGGGCCCAATATTTCTTAAATCATATAAGATACTGAACTTCATGGTTCATCACTGAATGTCTCCTTATGCTAGTCACTTCTTTATTTTTTAAAATATAAAATAAAACCAAACAGTCGTATTTCCTTAAATATCTCACAGATAGGCATCTGTAGGAAGACCGTGGTTTCCTGATGCCAAGGAAGGGGAAGGTCACTTCTTATCTCCTTTTCTTGGTACCTGGGTTCTGGCACAGCAAATATGTGTCAAAGATTATACATCGCATTGGTGGACAGAAATAGCTCTGCCGAGGCTCCGTCCAGACGGGCGATAGCTTTTCCCTCCCAAACAGCTGCAGCCTTTTCTCCTCTTTGTGGGTTTTGGTTTTTTTTTTCCCTCTGCCTTTCCTCCCGTAGTTCATTCTTCCTTCTCTGAAAGCACTGCAGGATGCTGGATCTGATGGTGAAAGAGTTCTTAAAAGGAAGAGAAAATTGAGCGGCTTTTCTCAAAACGCTGTGCTCTTGCAAAGGGCTTCCTACTACCAAGGTGCTGAGTGCAGGTTTCTGGATTTTACGTGAAAAGCCTGATTGTTATATATAGGTTTCATGGACATTGCACTGTGCTTTGCTCTATTTTGTTAAATTGGAAGCTGGGGGGAGTGACAGAAACCAAAGAGTTATACGGGTGCAATTCCTGAAGTGGTTTTGAAATACCCAAAGTTTATTTTCTGACTCTTTCTTTCATGTACCTTGAACAGACAGAGGAAGGATGAACTGGAACAGAGGATGTCTGCACTTCAAGAAAGCAGAAGAGAACTGATGGTGCAGCTTGAAGGGCTGATGAAACTGCTCAAAGTAAGCCACGTCCTGCCAGAGACGCAGAGCATCCTTCTCTTCCCCGGGTCGGGAATGCACTGTCGCTGCTCTGACCTTCCTGCTTTGCGGTCGTCCCGTTATAAATACTCCGCGAGGAACAGGAGGAATTTGCAAAACCGTCATCTCCGTGCTGGCTCTGCGTTGGTGCAGCTGGCTAATGGGTTGTCGGGTTCGCGTGCTGCTGCTTTGGCAAAAGTGCCAAGAGCCCAGAAGAGGCGGAAGGCTTTCGTGGGGTATTAGATTTGGTCATCAGCTGCAGGCAGCTCTTCCAGCTCTATCTGGAACATAAACTGGAAGCCGCAGTTGCGGCAGTGCGGAACGCGACTCCCCGTGACGCGGTGCCGTGTGTCACCAGGGAACGTTGCACCAGCCCGGCCCTGTCCGCGGCTTCGCTTGAGCGTGGTGGTGTTGGCTGTGCTCTGAGATAGATGTTGTCTGGATCTCTGGTGAGATAGAGTCCTGCTAGAGGTGAGCTCATGGCTGATGACAACAGTCTGAAATATTATTATGAGTTTCTGCTTTCCGTTCTTTAAATTGGACAAGAGTCTCTCTGTAAAGTGAGCGGCAGAACATTGCCCTTACTCAAAAGATTTTTTGATCTAAGACAAGATGTGACAAAGGTAGGGCAGGCAATGGAAGCCGCGGGAGAGAGATCGCAGCGCTGGCACGACAGGAGCAGCACGGGGTCTGTAGATCAGCCCTGGGCACATCTTCATAGCTCCAGAGAAACGTAGAGCTTGTCTGCACTTGAAAGCGATAATGAATTCGCATCAGCTGTGCACCTAAAGCGCAGTCGCTCTGCAGATCAGGCTTGCGTGCTGGAGCAGGAAGGCGCAGCCCAGAGGCTGTGGCCAGGTGCCCTCCTGAGGCGCCTGGACTGTTCCGTGGGCACGTCGCACGCAGTCAGCGTTCGTAGCTGGGAGGCTGGGGGTTAACTCAGTGGTTCTGCACGCTGTCATTTGTTCCTCTTCAGCCTGTCAGTGTCTGTCTGCTAGAAATATTGAAGACCATCACTTGCTAAATTCCCTTTGATTTCTTCAGAGCCGGAACCTTTGTAAGTTGGGGTGTGATATCTTTGGAAACCAACATCCAAAACTGAATTACAGATTGAGGAAAGTATAAAAAGTTGTTGCATCAGAAAGCATGATTCTTTGTGGGTCAGCTGGCCACAGTCTGAGCAGTTTTCTTGCACACACTTGAGGAGGCTCTTTATAACAAAATCATTTGGATATCTTCTTTAACATGGTGATGAGCTCTGACGGGAGATTTTCCGTAGACCTTATTATTTTCAAAGCACTCGCAAGCCTTCACAAGTTAATTCTCCCAGGCACGACCTGATGTGAATGCTGTCATCTCAGTTCCGTCAGATGGCCTGACTTTCCGCTATTCCATCTCGACAGCCTTGAAGGCCAGGTGGACCGTCTTTCTCAATGCCCTACTCTGACCCTCTACAGCAAAATTGTTTACAGGCTGTAAGGACAAATAGAACTGGATATTAGGAGAAACTTGTTCCCCGTGAGGATGCTCAAGCAGTGGAGCAGGGACCGGAGAGGTGGTGCCATCTCCATCCTTCAAGGCTTTCAAGACCCGACCGGATCAGGCTTTAAGCAACCTGGGCTGAGATTAAGTCGACCCTGTTCTGAGTAGGGGGCTGGACTTGAGACCACCTGAGGTCCCTTCCAACCTGAATTACCTGTGAGCCGGTGGCTATTGGAGTCATCTGGTTCTGCACGTTGCACTATCTGGGTCTTTGCGTCTCCCCTTAGGAGCTTTCCATGGAGCCTGGCAGCTTCTCCTTGGTTAAAGCATCTTCCAGAAAGACATCTGTTCTTGAGCTGAGGAAATCAAAAATGGAAAAATCACTGCCAATGCAAATTTGCTTGCACAGTTAAAAATTTATGCCTCATTTTCAGTTAATGTATTTAGCTTCAGTTTACACCCGTTGGCTCTGGTACGTGCGGTTCTGCCGCCATTAAATTAAGGAGTACTTTAGCACCCCTGGTTTTTTCCTACGCAGATACTTACTCATCTCAGTGAAGGCACTTCTCAGTCTTCTCTTTTAAATCAGTTAAACAGGTGGAGCTTTTCTGAGCTTCTCACAGTCCTGCACTTCAGTACTTTTTACAGTTGATTTCTTTGCCTTCTCCAGATTTTTAAGACCATTTTTTTAAATTGGGGAAAAAACAAACTGTATGTTCAATTCTTCTCTGAATCTTAGCAGCACTGCGCAGGAGTTACAGGAGGAGTTTCATTGCTCTTCATCACTATTTTCCTTTTTGTGCCTTTCCGCACCAGCGAGTGCTCTTTGAAAGCTGCCAGTTATCCAGATCGTACTCCGTGTCAAGTGCTTTATTTATTTTGCGTAGTGCTGACTGGTTAATGACAGTGCATCACAGGTTTGGCCTCTAAGGGAACTGCAGATATGAAAATATATTACGTCCGTGCAGTTCCTCTAGAAGCCCAACCTGTAATACATTCAAATAACAAAATCAGATTTATTTGGCAGGACCTCTTTTCCATGACTTTACAGTGCTTCACGTATTACGTATTAGTTGGGGCTTGTATCAGCATTTCTGTTACTCCGAACAAATTAATGGCAGGGTAGGACGTTTATGCTTATTTACGTTGTCTTACCTCCCTTCTTGAGTACGAGTGCCACACAGCACCCTCCAGTCCTGGGTGCCCCAGGATCTGTTAGAAATTACCTTCGCCGGACCAGGTAACCCTTCGGGTAATTGTTGTAAGAATCCCGGCCGCAAGCTACCCAGGCCCGCTGACCTAAAAATAGTATTTCGAGTAGATACTTTTAAACACCTTTTCTCATTATTAGCGGAAAGTACTTCACTGTTTGCCGATAGAAACTGCAAGGGGAAAGTGCTAACAGTCAAACAGAACAGAAATCCTAATTCCTCTTCCCATGCGAAGAATGTTACCGCCATTATCAAGAAGCAGGATGCACCACCTCAAGGCTCTGTTTTGTTTCTGATATTTGTCTTCATTTCAAAGTCTCCTTTTTGGTGGTTTTAGCCCTGCCAGATGCGAATTTTTCCTGCAAGGTTTTAGCTTCTCTCATCATTTGGTGCACTTCACAAATTTTCATTTATAATTTACATCGGCTGTTAAGCTTTTATGGTTTTTTTTCCATTTTCTTGTGCAGTAATTTTTACATTTTTAATGCTGCCTTCGTTTCACCAGTTGGAGCTGGATTCAGCTTACCTAACCTTGGTTATCCCAAAGTTTGGTACCTCAGCTCCCTCTGTAAAAAAGAGGAGAGAGAGGAAAATTGTTCTCTGGAGGTTCATCCATTTTCCGGTGGTGAGCCGTGCTGTGATAGTTGGCCTCGGAGCAGAGAAGAGCCCTCCACGATTTGGGTTGCCAGTGCGGAGGTGATCAAAACCCCATGGCTAGTGTCCTGCTCTGACGTTCATTAGCCCGCGCAGTGACCTATCCACGCCGTTGCAGTTTAGAGTTGAGGTTGAGCTTTGCATCGAGCGTCCTTCCACATCTCATTGCCAACGTGTGTTGACACCCTGTCAGGGGGGTCGGTTACAGGAATCTGGTGGTGGTGGTCCCTGAAGGAGAAGTTGTGGTCGTTCAGCTCTGCACAAAGCGCTGTTGTTGGTATCTTCTGGTGCTGCGAGACTCAGGCTGTCTCTGTCCTTGGACGGGCACCCGCCTGCCTGCTCTGCTGGTGCTGCGGATGCCAACGTGCCTTCGGATCAGGGTGACCGGCGCTTTCCCAAACCATCTCCAGCCACCACCCTGGGGTCATCTGTTGCCCAGACCCATTCCCGGGGGGGCAGCGTGGATAAGGCCACCCTGACTGGGGTGATAAGGGATTTTAGCAGCACAGACATGTGCAGATGGTGCTGGAGAACAGGCCCTTGCACAAGCTGGTTTAGTGCTGTAGCCTCTGAGTCTGTGGGGCCGCTGCAGTGGCCACCATCGAACCCCCGTTGGCTACTGATCTCGTCTCCTTCTGGCCGCTCCAGCCAGCACTTAGTGAAGCAGATGGAGCAGATCAGGAAGCGTTCAGGGCCAGGTTGGATGGGGCTTTGGGCAACCTGGGCTAGTGGAGGGTGTCCCTGCCCATGGCAGGGGTGGCACTGGGTGGGCTGGGAGGTCCCTGCCCACCCAAACCAGTCGGGGATTCGATGATTCTATGAAGCCCCTTGCAGACGAGAGGTAGCCCGTCCGTCTGGGCTGATCGGTGGCCACAGCCCGTTAGTACTGTCGTCAGTGACTCTCTTCCAACATTTTTAATCTCCTTTTCCTCACCCCGGCTGTTGGCTTAGCTTTCCCGTCTTTCCCAAAGCCTTCCGTAACACTCCTCGTGCTGTGAGCTGGCACTCTCCTATCAGTAGTCCGCAGCGATGACTGTCTGCCCTCTTGCAGGGCTTTTGCTTGCAGCTCCGTGGATATTCAGCAGACGTATCCCATTTCACTTCTTCCATTTCCTCAACGGTAATTTCCTCACCAGCCGATTTGATGATTTATCTAATAACTGCTCAGTCCTTCTAGCAAAGCTCCACGCCTCCAGAGACTTTTTTTTTTTCCTTCACATCTGTAGTTAATGCTAAAGCCTCATTTTTCAAAGTAAAAACTTTTTTGGTAGAGTGGAGATCATTTAAGATCTTTTCCTTGCCCTGGCTCCCCATCTGCTCCTGCGAGTCCCAGTGCTGGTCGGAGGAACAACTGGGAACGTGGCGGGGGGGCAGCGCCGGGCCCCGCAGCGGATGTGGAGCTGTGGTTCGGTGGAGCCGTACCCTGCATCAATGCTGAAACACTTGCCTGAAAGAACCCCAAGTCTTGGGAGAAAAAAACCGAAAGTATGTGCTCAGAAATGTGAATTCTCTGCAGTTGTCCCTAGATATCTCTGTAGTGCCCTCAGCGCAGCTGGGAAAACATCTTTTACTGCAGCCCAGTGAGAAGAAGCTGCTCTGAACTAAGGGACAGGTTCAGGTGAATCCCACTCAGACGGGAAATAAATGAGGGAAGGTGGATAGATGGGTTCATGGATTTCAAAGCCAGAAGGAGCTTTTATTCCATGAATTTTAACTCCATGGCCTGGATTTCTGGGGAGACGTGCTTACCAATGGTCCTGCTGCCCTCTGCACTGGCAGTCCGTGCCAAGCCAGCATCGAACGGGACACACGCCGTTACCCTGAAAAAGCTGTAATTGCTCTCTCGGCATATGAGAGTCATCAAAAACACGCTGCCGGCCTCACTTGTCATGCACGGCTTTGCTACCCGCACCACGACTGCCGTGCTTCTCCACACAACCGAGCAGACAGAACAGCACGTAGGACTCGCCCTGGTCGTTAGATATGCGAGGACGAATCTCTGAAAACTTTTGAATTATGAAAGCAGCTCTCCACTGTGCGATATTTTGCTCAT